GGTTGTGTGATCCAAATGTAGCTAAATAGAATAAAATGTTCCAACAATGCAGGGAATTCGAACAATTATTAGTTAAAAAGCCAAATAAACAAAATTAATTAATTAGTAAAATAATTAATTTAAGAACAATTAAAAGCAGTAAAAACATAAATAAAACAGGAATTTAAAAACAAATATTTAAAAAGAAATAAGTTAAATTAATTCAAAGCTGATTATTTTCTCGAACTTCCTTGAATTTTTATTTTGGCCTTTAACCTTCAATTCTATACTAAACAGAATTGAGAGCAAGGCTTCAGTACTTCGGAAAGTAGGTCATACCAGTAATAAAATAAGCACAAGTAAAATTTTTACTTTGTGCCAAACAAACACTCCTACGCATTTTGTTAGAAGAATTTGAGCATTCATTAACAAACCTTCGTTCCATGCACCTTCATGGCTTGCTGTGCCAAGGAAGCCAGTTTATCGCGGTACAACTGAGCTGCACGTGAATTGTACTTCTGCTGTGAGTCGGTGGTGACACAATTGTGTTGTCGGAAAAATTGCGCTGCATTGGCGTTTCCACCAAGCTGCATTTGTCGCAGTTGTAACCACGTCCAGTTTGTGTCCAAGTTCGTGGAGCGCACAAATGTTAAGTGCACACCCAAATTTCTATGCACTGCAGAGCAGTCAATGCATATAAAAATGCCGTACGTCACGGAAGACCACGTAGGCGTCTTCGCTGCACAATCGAAGCAAGACTGTAAACACAAATTTTATATTTATTTATATTTTATTTTTATTATATGTTTTAAAACACAAAAGAGAACAAAGCATTTCCTCTTCTCACAGTTCCTTTTGAAAATACATACTTTATTTGCTGGCTGCATTCTCAAGCGATTGAAAACAGCTTCTATTTCTTGTTTGGTTGGCCCAGCTATTGACATTTTGCAATAAAGGATTTTTAACTTTTCACGAATTAATGGCTTAAAATATTCCCCTTAATTATGCGGGAAGTGTCAAAAGTTTGCTTTTTTATTTGTTTAACTTTCACATGCAAATATTATCGACTAATCTGCTTTATTAATTTAATTTTGACGTGTTTTCTTTCTACTAATAAAAAATTACACGTTTGCTTGCTAAGGCTAGTGATGTTAATAATTACAAATAGTAATCGTGGCCACACGATATCACGTGTAATCGATAAGAGTAATCGAAATATAGTTGTCAATTTTAGTGCAACCAACACAAAAATTTTGAAAATTTAAATTTCTTTGTTTTATTTAATTATTTTTTATTTCTAATACGTTGTCATTATTTACTGCAGAAATATTACAAAATTATTAAACTTTTAGGAATATTATAATTATAATTTATAGACTTATGGAAATATTTAAAATAAATATGATATTTAAATAATACAAGAATTTTATATTTTTGACAGCTTTGGCTTTCTACTAATATTTCCTATTTGAAAAATGGGATGCTACAGGTTAAGATATACCCAACCAGATACGTTAGAGCCATGTTATGTAAAGTGTCATGGGCTCGTCAAAATTGGCTGTTTTTGAATTTGACGAATTCTTGATTCTTCTTCTTCTTGAGTTAGTGCTATTACGCACTTTTACTCTATAATGGCTGGGGGGCTTATCTCTATCCCACACTAGGCTTTAACCAGGCTAAAAATAAAAAACATATCATTTATTTGTCTTTTAGTTGATGACGGACCTTAAATCAGCATATCTTCCTGAGAGTTCAGAAGTGAACTTGAGAATTGTTAGGGCGGGGTTAATTAGCATATCAACTTTAGTGAATAATTTTAGAGCTCTGTCTCTGATATATTTTTTCACTGAGTCAATCCTAAGATCTCTATGTATGTCTGTAGATCTAATATACCATGGAATATGCATGTTATGTAGAGTGTCACAGAAATTATAATTATTTGCTTCTAAATAAGGCAAATGTTGACATTTATTATTCAATACCACTGCTTTGCCTAAGTGACGAGGCACAGATAGCCTCGGCTCTCATGATCAAATTTGAACAGACATATTGTTTTTTCTCTCACTCTCAATTTTATAATTTGCATTGAAAACAGCAACAATTTTACTCATGACGAACTCATGACACTCTAGATAACATGGTCTTTGCGGTAAATATTATCATTGCGATGCATTGGATAAAACAAATAGAGGCCATACCGTAATGTTGGTGAATTTGAAACAATTGACCGCACGGTACTTTGCAGCCTTTCTTGTTAAAATGATTTGACAGTCAAAATTTATATACAGACAAAAACAGCTAATCATGGTAAAACTGATTGAAGCTGTTGGACTCTCTTATTTAAATGATTTTATTTAAAATAATACCAATATAGAGCAAGCACAGAAAACATAGACAGTATCTTATCGTACTGCATTTGGTGGTGTTACCTGTATTATATCAATACTACGGAATGCATGAGATTGTATCGTACCGTGTCTATTTAAACTACCTGTTTTATGCTTGTAGTCATGTTATGTAGAGGTCACGGTCACTTCTAACCTGAAATTTTTGCTGTTTTTGATGTTAATTAATTTAACATTTAACATTAAATGTTAAATAATTTGATGTTAATTAAGAATTTGAGATTCAGACCCAATGAGAAATTTTAATTGAATTTTGGTCACAGTAACAGAATTTAGGTTCAACCAAAAATGGTGAATATAGTGGTACCACTTCGAAATTGACAACTATTACCAAATCTTTACATAACATATCTTTATGATTATGGTGAGAAAGTACGTAAAACTACCGTTACCACACGATACTAGGCTTCATATATGTAACAAGGTCCTTATATGTAAAATTACTATTTTAGATCATACTCTCGAAGGTACGGGCAATATCAAAACAATTGTGATATATAGCAGTGCTCTCTGGAAGGTATAGGCAATATTAAAACCCTTGTGATATATAGCAATGCACATAATTCTAAGGTCTGGTACTTGGTATCAAATATTATACGGTTTAAATGCCGTATAAGATTATTTATCGGACAACATAAGGCGCATAGTTCTATGAAGACCGCGAAATAAGAGAAAACCGATATGTACAGACTAAATCAAAAATGAATTATTGTACCCTAAACGATAAGGTGATCCGTTCTAACTCATAGAAACCAGAAAAGCATAAAAATTTGTTTAATTTTATGTTAAATTTATATTAGCTATTAAAAACATCGATTTATTATTTGGTGTTTCTCTCTGAGCAAGCTGTTTGCGTTTTTTATATTATTTGTAATATTGTTATAATTAATCAGTTGTTTGTTATTGTGGCGTTTATGTTTTCTACATTGTCTATCTACATTGTCTAAGTTTACCAAAGTATGACATGCCGTAGACCGTACGATATTTTTCATGACCATATCACAAAAATTATAGTACACTTACATATTTACTAACGAAAAATAACTAAACTCAATTATTATAAAGTTATTTATAAATTATTGTTAAATTAACAAAATACTAAAGAATCCAGAGTTTAATACAGTGTCCTGCATCGTAGACCGTACGATATTGTATCAGAATATGGCACAATAATTTTCGCACTTTTATTGCAAATTTTTACTAATTGGAACTATTAGCGATTTGAAAGTTGGTCAGTAGCAATAAACAAAAGTGACGTATTCTGATATAGTAATTTTTTAAAATTGATATATGATTAAAATATACAATTTTTTGATCTATCAATTCGTGCTCATGAGACGGTATAGAGGTAATCAATTCCACTTTTCACATACAGTAAGACCCCGCTTAATGCTGTTTCGGTTTAGCGCTCTTTTATTTCAACCCGCACATTTAAGCAGATGTTTGAAAAAACCGAAGGAGAAGAGAAGTAATCAATAAGAGAATTTTGAAAAAACTACAATATCATGAATGTTGTAGAAACATACACCTTTCTTGGACTGATCTTTGAAAAGAGTATGGAAGAACATATATATGACTAGATTTAAGTAAGAGCGAAGACATTGAACCCTCTTTCTATATGAATGAAATAGTGATAGAAATAGTGGAATTAGCGAAACAAACCGGTGAGGTGAAAGTGGAAGACGTCAAAGAAATAGTTCAAGAAACAGCAGATAGTTTTTCTAATGATAAGCTCAAGGAATTAATTGAGCAAGAAGAAAACAAAAATATTGATAGTAGTGATCACGAAGAAGAGCAAAAAGAACTTTCGATATTGTTTGTGAAAAGGAATTTGACCACTACAACTGAAATTATGGACCAATATCTTGAAATTGATTAAAATTTTGGCAGGAGTTCAAAAGCAAGGCGAGGTATTGTAGATGCTTTATCCACTTAGAAACAACTTCTAACAGAACACAAAAGAAAAATCGCAAACTACATTAGATGCCTTCTTGACAAAAAGGTAGAAGATTAAAAACACAGGATAGAATCTTCCCCTAACCCCAATATTTACATGTTAACATAGCCTCGTTTAGCACTATTTCGCAGTACGCTCTACTTTGATGGAACGTATCCCAGGCTTTAAGCGGAGTCTTACTGTATATTTAATAGGAGGGTTCACCCTCCCTTATGCTATCATACACTATATCTATGTCTCAATTGTTAATAAATGAATCACTTTTATTTGTGCTTCTAAATCCTTCATCTGTTATTTTTTACATAATAATATAAAAATAGAACAGTGATAGAACATTTAAAAAGTTAAGTCTGTCATTACGAAATTTCGCCAAACAACTACAAATTACTGCTAAATGCACCTATTATTTTACCAGAGATAACGTAGTCATAACTTTATTATCTCTGATTTAGAGTTTTTCTCTCAAATTAGGAGTTACGGGGAATCCCTATCGAGCCTTTTTTAAACAAAGTCTAGTCATCTTGAGACTCTCTTGTAAGATTTATATTAATAGCAAAATTTCTTGAGATAAATGATAGCAGTAAAGTTTAATAATAAAATTAAAATTTTTATTCAATAATTAAATTATTATATTTCTATTTACAAATATAAAACTCACATAACGAAGACTTAATTTTTATGCTGCTATTATTTTTTTTTTTGATTTCGCATAATAATATCAACAGTTTCTGGATCTTCCAATAGTACAAGTCGCACAAAAGCTAAATTCATTAGCAATGCTTGTCCTAAAAATTCTCGACGGTATCGTTCAGCTTCAGAAAACATTTCTCTTAAATTCTGTGGAAACTGCACATTTCGTGATATTGACGCACCGTTAAGATTTTCCAGCGTTTCCGAGTCTGTTGCAGTACTATTTTCATCAGTATAAAGACTATTTTTAATATTATAATTTATGCGCATTAACTTCAGTAAAGTTTCCTCAGTTGACACACGCTCTGTACCTACAAGGTGATTAAATATGCGAGCAGCCAAAAAGCGGCGTAAGAAATATACTTTGCCATTTGAAACTATTTTTGTCTCATTGCTCAAGACTTCGCTGTGACTCCCTCTTGACCTCAGCGCATAGCTTAACATGGCTATTATTTGTGCCTTTTGCACATTGATATTCTGTTGCTCCGCATTACCTGGGTTTGTGGTAGGTTGTGCTGTTTGAGGATTTTCAAAAATATAACAATCTGCTTCAGGAATCAATTCCATGGCACCTAAGCAACTTTGAACTAATTCACTTAAATGTAGCTTCTTTTCTGGAATCTCATAATGTTGCCAATCTGTTAGTAAGCAAGGAGATGAATTTAAAGTTGTTGGAAGCTCTAACCGGGACCATGATAAACTTGATACACTAATTCGTATAGCCACTGATGACCGTATGTTTTGTTTGACTTCATCGTTTAAATTGGGTGTTAAGAATGAACTCGCACGTAAACGTGAATTCGTTTTAACTGTGACACAAATTTAAAAATTATTTTAATAAAATAAGCTATTTTGCAAATGATCACCTTTTTTTAATGTTGGCTCTTTTAATAAATTCTCACAAAATTTATTCACTACCTTAACTCCAAATCCATCGATATCACGAATACTTTTAAGGTCTGTAAATGGTCCATTGTGTTCTCGCCAAGCAATTATTTTACTTGCTCGCGCTGCTGATATTTTGTAGCTATTCAAATCATTAATATTTTAATTAAGTCACATTTTTATTTTATTGATAAATACCTTGTAAACTCCTTTGGTGTTAGGCTATTTAATTTGTTCAATATATTATTAGTTTCGTCGTTTGTAAAACTTAATTCAACTTTGTCCACTTTCGTAATAAAATTATTTTCCGGTTCTTGGAAAGTAGTGTTTGTACTTATGGTCATCGGTCTTATTGAACGTACTTGTTTATTTAAGTAATTTAACAAAATTCTATACATTTTAGCCGCAAATGGAATATTAAAAACAAAATATTTCATTTATGAAGAAATAAACAAAAATCAGCTGATTGTCACAGGGATGTTATTACTTGTGTCATATGCTGCCTGTGATCGGCAATATGAAGCGATGAGTTATGCTACTATCCACTAAGTTATGTGTTACATAGGTTTATATGATTATTGCATACGCATATGCTTCAATATTAACAAAAATTGTTAACAGATATATAATATTGTTTTAATTACTTTGTATAAAACATATATAAATTATTGATAGAATAACTTAAATATATAATATATATGTATTGCCATATAATGAAGTCTTCACTTAACATGACCAGATATTACAAGTTTGTTATATTGCTGTCAGAACAGTATATTGGCTTAGAATTTAAGATTAATAAAATGTTTAAGGTTCATAGAATTTATATACTCCTATAATCTTCGTTACTTAGCTAGAAACTGTAAAATAGTTAATCATTTTTTAAGATTGTATTAATGATTCCAATCCATTTTTCTTCAGTCACAATATTGTCAACCAAAACGGAATCTTAAAGTTAAATAAAGTTCTATTAAAATCTGCAATTTTCATTTATTTACTACGGCCGTGTGCGAGTTCGAGTAAATTGATAGTAAATTGAGGGAAATACTAAATTATATTGGTATGGCAACGAATGTTGGTATTTACCAGAATTTCGAGTAGGGTAAATTAGATAAAAATTAGGTAAATTAGGTGTTACCATTGTGAAAATTTTATAATATGATTAAATAAATAAATAAATTTGAAACGTTTTAATTAAAAATAATAAATGCAATAAATAAATATATAAATATTTACATAAATGCAGTGCAAAAAACCTCTAGGAAAATTTAATTTACTTAATCTCAATTTACTCGACGGCGTTCTACTAATCTACATTGCACATAATTGTTATGGAATACGATGGCAACCCTGATTCCATATGAGCTAACACAAATTGTTCGACTTTTTTTGCTTTCAATTCATTGCGAGTTTTGTTTTAAGTAAAATTGGTTGTATACGGAATGCACAAACAGTGAAAAAATTAAACGTAAACAAATTTATTTAATTTATAAATTTAATGTAGCACACGACAAAAGTTAATTTGAGTTGGAAATAAAAAGTGGAAAAAAGTAATTTCATTTGAATAATATTCGCATGCTTACATTTTCGGATGCACGTTAATGTCAAAGGTTGCTTTAGATTTTGAAACCTAAAATTAAATTAAACATGAAACCTTAAAAATATAAAATATAAAAAATATTCATTGCACTTTCATTTCAATATAAACTGACGAAGGAAATGTATAACAAGTTTCGTAATTGTTTAAACCGTGAAAAGCGTATAAAGCAACAATAACAATCTCAGCTTATTTTGTTGTTGTCTTAAAAGAAAGTGAAATTCGCTGCTGATTTTGTTTTAAGCGAAATGTGAGAAGAGCTAAAAGGAAACAATCAGAAACAATCGTTTAATAATAAAAAAAGAAAGCAAACCCAGCCAATATAAATAATTTATCGCCCACCGAATGTGGTTAACGCGTCTTCACCATTCCAAACAATTGGTGGTGGCAAAGATGCTGAACGGCTTCGAGTGCAACGCAAATAAAAATAAAAGTAAAAATATTAAATAAAATGAATTAATTTCAATAAAAATGTTAATTTGTATCTAATTTCATTGATAAGTAAGCGCTAAATGATTTTAAATTTGTGTGCTTTATCAAGTTATTGACAAAAACAACAAAAACATTAAATGATTTCTGGCTTCCTACGACAAATTAAGCTCGTGTCTCACGCCAAAATGCAAAAATTCAATTATTTGTGAAATATAAGAAGTGTGTGAACAATTTCACCTGTGTGTGTGTGTGCGTGAGTAGCTCGTGTGTGAGTTAACAAAATCATTAACATTGACGACACAAAGTAACGAAAAAGTGCTTCACTGACTTCATGTAAATTTTGCTTGAGGGAACGAGAAGCCTGTGTCGTTTCCAATGACGTGCTTATTGACTTGGATAAATAGTATTCGGCGTTTTTTAGTAAAAACTGAAAATATTTGTCAAAAATAATTTTATTATAACTAATCCAAATATTGCATTTTATGATAACATCTAGTGTCTATTTTTTTATGACTTTCTAACCGTATTATTTGCTGACAGTAGAGGTTGGAAACAATCGTTTGGTTTGCCATTCGCTCATAATAGGTAGTATCCCTTTAAACCCATCGAAAACACAGCATAACCTTTTTTATCGTCACACTCGGCTTTCTCAGTCGTTCCAAAGATCATATTTTTTTACCTAATTTTGTTTTTATATCACGCATTGACTGGATTACTGTTTATCACTTAATCAGATTAAACAATAACTGACCTCAGATATGCATACCTTCCGAGGAGCCTGTAACAATTCTGAGATTCAATAACACGGTGTTGGTAAGCCTGTCAGTTTTTATAAATAGTTTTAGGGATCTATCCTTTATGTGTTTTTGTGATCGAACCAATCTTGAGGTCCCTGAGTATGTCATTCTACTCGACCTGCTTTTCATCAATTGTAACCATACGCTCTTAAATCAATGGGTTCTTCAAATTTTCTGCACTCAACACCCAAATATCGTTATGTTTTTTGTAATTATCCTTGTATAAAAGGTTATTATTATTTTGTGTTCCGTCTTCCGATCATTGGTAATATTTTACCTCCTCATTTCATATGTTTTATACATAATTTTATCAACTTTTCAGTGATTGATTGTACAGAGCAAGTAGCATCCGCTACATCCAAATTTCGAAAACAAACAGAAAGACTGCGTTTTTTAGTATTCCTCTAGAATTAGGTACATTGTGACACACCTTCACTATAAACGATCAATGTTTTCCATATGCCTTTTGGCATATACCTATTATCGTAATAAAATTTAAACATTATAACTTATTGTCAACCCAAAAAAAAATTTCTTTTGAATTTCAAAATTTCCCAACTATTATCACCCCTTCTCTTCTCTATAGAAATTTTTTTTTTTTTTTTGTATGACTTAGAAATCTGAATCACTGATAAAATTATAAAATTTAATTTTTTTTAAATCTTTCATCTCAATTTAGTTAACAATAACTTTAAACTCAAATTACCCAACTTAATAAAATGTTCACCAATAATTAGATACCTAAACTGTCGGATATCAAACAGAAAAAAAATTGACGATGAACGTCCTAGTCAAGTAAATAGAGAAACCCTGAGTACCCCTCTCCCCAACTGAATATAATTTTTGAGATACATTTAGTCTTCGAAGTTATATTATTGAAAAATATATTGTCTAATTATTTGATACCATATGTATATATTAGGATCAATTGTCTTCAAATTTCTAGTTGTTGTATTTAACTAGGGAACATCTTAAATAATTAAATGACGAAGTTAAAGAAATCTGAATTGATTTTAATTTATCGCTAAAAAGAATAAGGCAGTTATAAATAAAAGAAATCCCAAAATGTTCAGTAGATACAAAGATAAAGCCTAAGCCATATGGAACCAATCCTTGTAAATGTGGTGTATAACGAAGAATTTGTTTACACCGGCATATCTTTGATTAATTATAACTTAACGTGACAAACGTTCGGCTAACAACTCTTATAAACACATTCGCTTAAGACTTTTGCTACAATTGTCAGCGTTTTCCAGCACCTTTACTCGATCTTTAATCAGGTGTTCATGTTTTTTATTCACCAAATTTCAGCGTTCAGCATCTTTGGTTATCATACGAACTCAACAAAACCACTTTTCAATGATCTATTTTTATATTATACCATATAAAACTGTAGAGTCTCCATATTGCTAATCAAAGCTTCATGTTTCAGAATAGGCTTTTGTTTCTAAAACTTTTCCCTTATCGACATTCGAAATTCTTCTTGATCCACCTTTGGAAATTCATCAACACTTGCGTATTGTGAATTTTTTTAAAGCAAAAATGCTTCAGATATATAAGAGATAATCTAGACTCAAAGATTTATATATTGCTAAGAAATAGAAAAATATATTTCAAAAATCATTAGAAACTTATTAGTGCATTAATCAAGCAGTCCTCATAAATAATATATATATGTATAAAATATATATACATATGTATAAAATATATATGTATAAAATATATATATGTATGAGGATATGTATATATATATGTTATATACAGAGTAAATTGAATTGTTTAAAAATAATAGACTTTATAATACTACATTATTGTCATTTCATACTCTATCTATTATAGCCGTAATCTAACCAAAAAAGGAACCAAATGTAATTTTAAGCAAATAAAAAGGACTAATATTGAAGTCTGCATATATATAAAAATTTAAAAAAAATGAGTTTATCCACGACACTTACTTTAAGTCCAGTTTCATCTACGGAAAATTTACAACAAACTCAATTTTACCAAACCCCCAGTAAAAATAGCGGTGTTTTTTATAATTTTACACGTGAGACAATTGATGAAAAAGATAATGATTTCTTATATAATCCCAGTACTCTCAACAATTCATATATGCTATTACCAACAGAGGATACACAACTGCTGGAAAAGGCTCCAAATCCAAACACAGTTTCAATATCATTGAGTAATAAAAGTGGCAACTACAGCAGCACATTAAAAACTAAATCTACGATAATTAAACAAGATAGCTCTAATGGACGCATCGCCACCAGCCTAACAGATAGTGATAGCGATAGTAGCATTGTATCGGGTAGAGTCTGTTGTCCAACATCAGTTGTGGATGCAGAAGAGGAACAAGAGGCGTTTCTAATAGATGGACCAAGTCCCTCAACTAACACACCCACTCGTCGCAGTTTAAGTAAAAAGCGAAATACGAGCTGTTACCGAATGAATGCGTTCCTCTGTCGTACTTGGTACTTAAATTATATCGTACCGCTCTCGATATTATTGGCACTTATGTTTGTTGCCTATTTAACACGCGACTATGCGAAACGGTTGCTTTATTGGATCGAAACTCAAAACCCGTGGGTGATATTCGCGTTATTTATAGTGTTATTTATTGTTGTAAGTTTTCCAATTGTCGTCGGTTATTTCGTTTTAATGATAACGGCGGGATATTTATTCGGATTTCTTAAGGGATTTCTAACTGTGATACTGGGTGCAAATTTGGGCATTGCAATTGCGCACTTAACCATTCGAAGTTTTAGGCATCGGATACCAATGCATAAGTAAGTATTAAAGAACTATATCAAGTACATGTATAAGTATATGTATATTTACTGTATAAAAAAACTAAATCTTAATTAAGTAATGCTATGCAAAATTAAAAAAAAAAATAATTACCTAATTATAATATTTAAAATAGTGTTCTCACAAGCTAATTAGTCTATTTTTTGTGATTGTTAAAAATTAAAAATAAAAAAAAACAACGAATTATTTGTACAATAATTTTTATTTAATCGATATTTTGACTTCAATCTATTATTTACTATAATAAAAAAGTGACCAATTAGTCTGTGAGAACACTATTTTAAAAATTGCTTGGTCATAAAATAATATGTTAAATATCTTATCTATAATATAGGAAAGTGGTTTATAATACATTTTGGACTTCTCGTTGTCATAATTAATGAGCAAATTAATCCAGCCATTAAGTAATCCGAAATCAATTTAATTTTACAACTACATATATTATTTGGTATAAAACAAAGCCAAAAATAGTTTCAATTTTTTAAATGTACATATATATGCCAATTTGAGAAAGATACTTCCTCTAAATATTCTGAAATAATAATAATAATAATAATAGTAAGATAAGCGAAACTACTCATACCAGACAAATAATGAAGAACATAAAGTGTAAAAAATGTATAACATTTACATTTATTTTTAATTAAGAAAATTAAATTAAAAAATAATTTTATTTAAAAAAAAGATTTCATTCGAACAAAATAGGCGTTTGTAGTTTGATATATGAGAAGGAACTGTCTTTCGGGAGTTAGTCCCCCCATATATTAATATAGTATGTTAAATATACTTGTCTTCGGGCACATAATAGAGACCCTTTTTGGTAAGCCGCTACCAGTGTTTTATATATGGCACAGAATAAATTACTGGCTACTCGGGGAGGTATGCAGATGTGAGGTCAGTTATTGCTTAGTCTGATGAGGTGATAAACAATAATCCAGTCAAGTCGTAGAGGGAGCTTATGAAGAAACCTCGCAGTTAATAAAGAGTTAAAGTGCACTGACTCAACTAGCCTCAACATAATAATTTAATATAATTTAAATATTACTTCAGCTCTAAGTAATTGTAAATAATTGTGATGACAATGATGATAAATAAAAATAACTTTTTTAAGGTTAATGTAGATCTATGGCGTAACTAAGAAGCTCTTCATGGAACAAAAATTACGTGTTTTGTATCGTAACTCCAAAAAAAAAGTGATAATTAAAAAAGTATCATATTGTATGAAGATTTGGTATGAAGCCCAATTCTTGAAACTTGTGTAATTGATGTTTAAAAAAGATTTTTAATAAATACGTGACTGTCTTGCTATTCTGTTTTTTGTGTAATTACATAAATAAAAACATGTGTTCAACACTTTAAATTATAATTTTACAATTAGTTTTACGCAAATTTCCTTCAACGCAAATTAATTTAAAAAATTTAACACATTCAATTTAAAAAATGGGACATATGTGCGAATTTTAGCGTTCTCCAAGTGAATGCGGGCAGTAGCGAATTCTTAATAATAGGTTAAAAGGTCTCGTTGGGATATATTTATATATTCAATATTAATTAGTTAAAGAATAACATAAATATGTACCATATATAATACATACATATATAACCTATTAAAGTGTGACATCTAGTGTAAACCTTCTTACAATTTAGGGGTCTTACTCTACTTGTAACTATTGAAAACTTTCAGTCTTTAGCTTGAATATATTTTCACACTAAACCATCTCTTTTGTTCGTTTTAAAGCTGCTTCAAAGATCTTATAAGCCCTACTGAATTATTTTTCTTTTCCTGCCGTCTATAGTACTTAAATAGTTGACATTTATAGACGTGTATCATTCATGGTCGCGTTTTGTATACTTCGTGTGCCAGTTGGTATTACTGAGTGCAATCAAATCATTTATCGTATAATTATTCAATCGAAAATGTGGATGTCTTTTAACGTGCATTCTATCACCGTATCTAATGCCTCTCTAGTCAAAGCTTTGAAATTCTATCAAATCCTTGACATGAACAAGCTAATAAGTTATTATTACCCGCTTAGTTATGTCAATGTCGCAATTGAGCTTATGAAGCATATCCTATTGCTATTTATCAACGCATACAAGACTACAAATCGTTCAATAATCCTACCGCGGATAACAGAGGGAAGTGTGTTCTTTATCCATACTCACCGCTACTCTTCCATCCATCCGTCCAATGTTTTGCATTATATGGTTGAAAAAACTTTCTAGGAGAATTGTAGAGCTCTTTAGTCGAGAGATTGTTTTAGATTGAAAGAGCTTGTACTGATACAACTGTCACCAAGTCCCATTGCTTAAAGAACTCAGAGTAGTATCTATTGAAAAAACTGATTTACGTTAAATTTGTGCGTGAGGTCATTTTTGGTATTTATGCTAGTTCCAGTTTCCGCACTCCACAACAAAGAAGGTATTATTTTCGTTTATCAAGAAAGGGCTTTATTGCTTATTGAGCTCTAACTAGCTACCTACCATCTATTGAGAAAAGAGTTTCTCCGTTGAATTTATTTATTTTATATATTTCACTTTAGGAAATGTTATTTTATTTACGAGGAGAATTTAAAATTAATATATTATTTCAAATGATTTTATGATATAGTTATAGTTATTATATAGGTATTCCTTTACATAATCAATTTAAGTTTACCGTAGCGCGTTTTTCATATAATCCGTGGCACTTACAATAGGTATTTAATGTAAGGAATGCAATAGTCTTAAATTTAAATAAGTTTGTTTTTAGTTATTTGTTACTCTCTGGATTGTTAGAAGTTCGATATGGTACTATTAACGATTTAGAATAAAGACTTCAAGTAGGACCGTACCACTCTTTGGTTACTTATTGTTTATGTATCTAATAAACTCTCTAGTAGTTGCTTTATGTCAAGGAATGAGTTTAGTGATATATTGATGTCACAGATTCCATAAAAATATGTTTGTAAATTTATTTGTTACCTCAAGTTATCGGATGGTTATACAATAAAAGAATTAAAAATTTTGTAAGCACAAAATGAATATACAATTATCTTAAGGTCTTATGTATTTAACCAGTATATCGCATCGAGATTCATTGCTTTCAGATTAGTTATTGCAATATTGTCAGAAAGCATTGAGCAGTCGTCAGGAACGTGATCGGAGTCTACTCTGTGTAGCCACATGAGCATTTTGAATTCCTCGTGAGATGCGTCAAGTACTTCAGCTGGTATAGATTATTAGTCCTATTATATAAGTTTATTATAAATAGTTGGAAGTAACTTGAGTTGTAGATGGGATATTACTTTGAATTTAACTGCGATGCTATATCTTACCTTAAACATTAAATATGTTAATTAAAATTTTTAACACTTAATTTATATATATATATATAAAATACTAAAACATGCTAAGTCAACCCGTACATAATCTAAATTTAATAATCTAAAAAATTTTAATGTATCATTCATATTTAAATGTTATAGGTTGTGAAATCTATTTATAACATATAATATAATTAAAAATTTACATGTACTCTTAATTACTAATATTAATTAGTCAGTTCCTTAGTGTACTGATATCGTGATTTTGCCGCATAAGTACTTGGGGGAGTTTTGACGTAATAAATAAATGCGTCAAAAAATCTTATCGCTCTGCGTCTATAGTATAGCACAGCTCTGTGTTTGTGCTCCACAGGTGTCTGGTTCGCTTAAGTTTAGTATATTTGTATGATGTGTTTTCGTTTTTCCCGCTGAAATTTATTTATTAAAAGCTTCATAAAGTGGAACACATCAGCCTTTATATAGTTCTTAATATTACATACCTTTCAATAACTTGATTTCCGAGTGAGTTACACGTAACCAATTAGTCATCGCCTACTAGCTTTACGATATTCTATGGATTGCGCTAATTTAATCTCGTTCGGTAATTTTACTTTAATTTTTTAACAAGTATTTCCCCTTTAAAATATTAAATAAAGTGCACTCATGGATGCTTTCTGGGTCAAGTGAGAATTTTTTATAATAAATTCCACATATTTATATATAGGTATATAAAAATATATTTTCTTATAATATAATAATTACTTAATCTATATTTACATGCTTAGTTGAGTGTGTTTCAGAATATGTGGTGACTTAATAAATTTTTTACTTTTTTATTGATAACAATAACAAACATTTTTCCACATTCGTACTTAATCTATATAATATAAGGGAATTATTCAGTGATAATTGATAAGACTATATTCAGTCCAAATCACACTTTGAGGTGAAGTTCAATGCTTTACTTTTCCGGTTTCACTACATTTTCTGTCATTTGTGTAGAAATTTCTTTAAGCCTTCCATTTCAAAATACGCAAATAAATTAATAATGTAAGACCTATAGACATATACCATATGGTTAAATTAATGTAATTACATACATACATACATACGTACTTATATACAAAGTATATGTATTTTTGTAGATAAGAAATAACGTATAACTGAAATTGTATTATTTTTGTATTAATTTATTTAATGCTAATAATCATAGTAAAATAGTAAGAATTCAAAGTTTGCATAACGTTTTATATACGTATATATACTAATGCCTCTTTATGTAACGAAATACATATATACATTATTTTACATTTTGTTTTCAAAATGCCTTGTAAACACAATGAAACAGTTTATTTTGCGTTGAAGATTGTTTTTGTTTATCAATGGAAAACAAAATGCATATGCACTAAATGTATTTATTCTAACAATAGTAACAATAGAATATATATCAACACCTGTACCTTGTTCTTGAATTATTTAGTATAATACTTTATATTAATGATATGTCACACCTCTCTGATAAATACACAACATTACAAAAATATTGAAAAGAACAAGGTCACAGATGTAATGTCAGAAGATGTTCTGGGGTGTATACAAGTAAGACCGATACATCGATACCATCACTATCGCATTAACAAATGACTTGTAGTCTAATCGGAAAAACTTTGAAA